TGGAGTTACTGGGAGAGCGCCACTGTAAATTCCAGGAGGCCACATGTAATGTGTCTTAAACATAGATGGACAGCACCAGGTTTCCTCGAGATGAAGAATGAGACGGAGGGGAAAAGAAGGGGATAGGATGAGGAGGAAGTGGCGTCTGGATAGATAATAGAATAATGCTGTGTTTTGTCTGGGGAAGGGTGAGCAAACAGTGGCTATGCTGTCATTCACACCCTATATCTTCGGTGTCATCGCGGAGGGGGGAAACTACAGGCCTATACATCACAGGCCTGTATGTCCTATTCTGTAGGGACAGGCTTGAAATAAAAAGAAGGATGGCTCTCATTGTAAATAAGTCAGACACAAGGACTGCCAGGGTCTTTTCAGTGAAAGGGGAAATAAGACATACAGTACACGCTGCTTCCCTAATGCTCCTCCAGCCTTTACAGGAAGCCCTTATCTTCAAACAGATGATGACGGTTAACAAAAGGCCCCTTTATGAAATCGTTCATATTTCAGCGGAGGTCTGTCTCCTGTCCTGAGAGGTGATTGATGCATCAGGCCCGGGCCGGTGTCTTATTTACACAGTTGAGTGGGGCAATCTCAGGCCTGGAAGATAACCCTAATGAGCTTCTTTGTGTAAGGGTGCAAATGAGAGACACCATCCTCCCTTCCTCCCTCCTTCCCTATTCCATCCAAAGGGACAGTCTGGGTGATTAGGCCTTTAAATTATGCTCAAGGGCAAAGCCTAGATTTGCATCTTAGGTGTGTGTGTGTGTGTGTGTGTGTGTGTGTGTGTGTGTGTGTGTGTGTGTGTGTGTGTGTGTGTGTGTGTGTGTGTGTGTGTGTGTGTGTGTGTGTGTGTGTGTGTGTGTGTTCTCAAACGGAGAGAGGCAGGTGAAGGGCAAAGGGAGGAAGATGCTCGAGGCTTGTTTGTGAGAGGTGATGGAGGGTGAGCAATGTGTGGCAGTATTTTAAGAATTTAACTACGCTACACAACAAACTTGAGTTGTCAAAAGAAGGAGGTGACATACACACACACATTCATTTAGTCCTTTGTCTGTGGGGTAACTTTCTCCCTAATGACTTTCATTTTAGGGAGAATTTCATTTGCCCCTAAACCTTAAATATTACCCATCACTTGCTGTCACATTTCTCATCCCTTCCATTTCCTGCAGCTAAACAGCTAGGAAGGCAGGTTAATTGCTGTCACTCTCTAGTTGGACCACTGCCTAGCTCTCGTGTAGCGACAGGGGTAGCCTGGAAGTAAGATGGCACCTTGGCGCACTTATTGTAATTTATGTCAAAATGCGGCAGTCATTTAAATGGGGGTTGGATCGTTTGCATTTTGCTGCATCATGTGCCCCCGTGTCTGCAGCTAACCAGTTTACCAACATGTCAAACTCTACCAGCTTGTTAAGTGCAATATTTGAGCCAAATTAAATAAACGACTGTGCTCATAAACACAATGAAATTTAAAAAAAAAGCACAGGACTGACGATATAAACAACCAAAAAGCAAAGAATAATAAAAAATGTATTATTTAGGATCTGGAAAGCAAACTGAAGTCTGAGTTTAATGAGTCAAGTTATGTGGATGAAAAGTAGTTGAAATCACAATTTGAACTGGTGCAATATTAAAATTGCAGGATGCACAATATTTGGTAAAGGCTAAATATATGTTAAAAATATAATCGTATAGTATTGAGGTGTTGCAGAGATATCCCGGCCTGAACATCATATTCCATAGACTGAATAAAACATAGTTGTTTGGTACAGATCCTTTTGAAAAATAACGCCATGATCCTTTAATATCTTTTTCAATGATAAAGAGAAAAAGGATCAATCCCTCCCATAATGTGAATTATTTCACAATTGCAATATCAGTCAAAAATAATTGTAAAGAGTTATTCTTTCCAAATGGTGCAGCCCTAGTTGTAGTGGCGGAAGGTCTTCAAACAACTGACCCGACCACACAGCAGATAAGCCTCCATCTCGCTCTGAATATCAATACACTCCGTACAGTAGGGAGCCCATTTACAGGGGGCAGTAGTCCCGAGTATTGGCTCATCAATCCCACTGATAACCCTGGCAGGATTAAGTCTACACACCACTGTAATCAACTAACAGCCTCATTATGGGACATTATGGTATGGATCCAAAGATCAATGCATGGCTCCCTTGTACACACAGCAGCATATGATATTAAAACATAAGACAGAGATGAATTGATTGGTAATATGAGCTCAGCACAATTCTTTACGAGGGAGCTTTTATAGTGATCATTTTAGCATAGTAATTAGGGCACAGCAACATTCATCATTTGCTCTGATACATATCTGCAGCTGGCAAATTGCAATCAGATACAGTGGGTATCTAATCTGTGATCTCAAATCAAATTAGGTCTATTTAGACAACCTTGGGAACGGGGGTGATGAAGCCCTGACAGAAATTAGGGGAAAGGAAATTCAATTGTGATAGGACGGTTATCATTCAGATACACGGATAACTGTGTGTGGCCTTCACTTTGAACTGCATTTACAGTACAGCATTGTTGACAGAATTTGCGATAAAAATAAAAGCAAGTGGATTTAAAGGATTTTAGAATGAGAAAATGGTCTCCAGTGCAACTTGATCTGTGTCCTATATGGCCCAATCTATGGCTACGAGACCTTAAGATGCAGCTTTTCTAATTATAGCTGCAGGTGGTATTTTGGAGCTGCTAGGTAATGGCAGAACCCACAGGGACAATGGAGAATTCATCAGTGCTTATTATTAATCATCCCCCCAGCAGCGTGATGAGAGACTGCAGCTCCTATACCCACTGGACCACTCAATGTCATTCCAAATATGGGCGGAAAATTACACCCAACAGCCTTCAATCAGACGTGGACTGGAATGTTTTAAAAGCATCACACAGGTGCAAGCAATGGACGGACACACACATGCTTCTTATGTAACTCACGTATCAACATCAGATGAAGATAACTGGAAAATGGCCAACAATTGCATACAAATAATTCCATCTGTGGCTGGCCTGCGCTCTCTGTCCAAAGAGTGTGAGCACGCCACAGGAAGTGTGTGTGAAGTTAACAGCACAGGGCCCCCTGTTTTAAAAAGCCTCCAGAGACCTGTTAGCTGGACTGCTCATTTCAATATGTCTGTCTCTGGGTTGGGAGAAGGCTCGGGCTGGCCTCTTTACAAGGCGCACACTGTCATACAACCCCCCCCCCCACACATCCACCCACCACTACGAGCTCTTAGCCGTATGTCCATCTCCGGGACTTAACTAGACACTTTATGCTTACGTCGTTTTTCTGTCTCTCTCTGCTGTGGTCTTTTTTTTCTTTCTTTGTAAAAACGGCACAGCTTCTTTGAGTTAACATTTACATACACACGCTCATGTGCTTTCTATGCTGCCATTACACATATCTTAGGAATGTCTTATGTCAGATCTCCAAATAGAACAATATTATTTACACCTTTTTATTTATAACGCAGCACTTAAATGCACTTAAATAGATAGTATAAACACACGAAAAATAGTTTGACATTTTAAAATTGGACAGTCCTTATCCTGCTCTCTATCTCTTTCTATTCCACCCTCAATCTGCACTGTATCTCCAAATAGAAAGCCTCTACACCTTCAAAAGTAAAAGAGTGATGACTGAGAGAGGGAGCGAATTGACCCCAATCAGGTGTGTGTGTGTGTGTAGAAATGGTGGTCATAAATAGAGGGGGGGGGGGGGGTACAGTGCTGTGATGCCGCTGCAGCCACCAGCAGGACCACTGGGTTCGTGCTGTGGATGGGTGCAGAATGGGGGATGGAAGGGGAGAGGAACCTGCAGGACATGCTTCATTTTGCAACCCCCCCCCCCCCCCCCCCAGATGCGGACACACAGTTCGTCATCTATTGTACTGCCCCCCCTCCCGACTGAACTGACCACAGGCTTTCAGCTGCCTCCGAAAGAGTACACACACACACACAAACACACATGAAAGTTCCCCAGCGAACGGAGAAGGACAGCGCGCATCATTACAAACCCGCGGCGATGTCCCCCCCCCCCTGATCCACTAAACCCCGGAGCATGGCCCTCTGACCTCGTCTCCCACTGCTCTTTTGGCAAAACTGTCAAAGCCATCATTCACCGTGAAAAGACACGAGAGACACTTGACTCCTTTACTCTGCTGGCAACTGACTTTCACAACTCCTGCCCCCCAACCATCACCTCCTACAACCCCCCCCCCGCGGTTCATTCAACCCTCAACAATACAACATGAGACGAAGAAGGGAAAGTTAAGATTTGAAAAACGACGGAAGAATTTAGTAAAATGAATACAATAGATGAAAAAGAGAGGGGGGAAATATTCGCCAAAAGCAACAAAAAAATACTTTCTAGTTGAGAGAGACTGCATGCAAATTATTCTTTCAAAAGTGTCCCGGTCAAAGGTTTCTCTGCCGCTGGCGGGACTGTGTGTGTGTGAGCCGAGTTAGGAGGCCCTCTGGTGGATACAGCACTGCCATGACACACACACACACACACACACACACGCACACACACACCCACACCCACGCTTCCCAAACTGCTCCGTACGATGCTCCAACGCACACATTCTTCCCCTTTCTCCGGCTATGCCTCTCTTTCTCACTGACACACACACTTTGACATGCTTTCACACACACCTCACACTGCTACAACTCTAAAAAATATAAAGTACGAATACAAAAATATGTATAAACAACTAAAACAGACAAAAACATTTCCATCAAACAGCTTCAGGCTGACAAGCAACTAAACAACACAAACAGCCGATTAAACACATGTTTTTTTGCCTTCCCCGTGTACTGAAAAACACAAACAATACACAATAAAAAAGAGATTTCATTGTGCCGCCTGTCTATGAAGAGAAGCCCTCAGCAGAGAGCAGAGTGGGAGAGCGGGGGGGGGGAAACAGAGTGAGAGTGAGGGAGAGAGCGGCAGAGAGACGAGACGGGGGAGAAACACAACTTACCTGCTGTTGTTGCAGATGCAGCAGCTCGACTGTGCTTACTTCGCTGCTCGTGTCACCAGCGCTTGATCTCCCATCTCTACTGCCAGCCTCTAATTGGCTGCTGCTTAGGGTGCTCATTCCATTTTGACTCATTGAACTGTTGCTTATTGTCTCTGTGGCCGACTCCTGCATCATCATGATTTAAAACCTAGAAGTGATTAAGAGGCACCGGTTAGGGCTCTTCTTCTTACAATTCCCCCCTTTTTCCCTCCTTTCTTTTTTTCTTCTTTACGCTTCCATTATCAAGCCCCTCAATCCCCCTCTGCAAATTAAAGCATTTAAAGAAGAGGGAGGAGGGGGGGAAGGAGAAAAGGGGGGGGGGGGGGGATGCAGGAGGAGCAATTATGCATTCATTGTGTAAATGAAGCAATACAAAGAGATGCACGTCCTGGTGCTGTTTAAAATGGGTGGGGTAGCTAAATGTGATTCATCCGTAAAAATTGGGCATACATGTACGCTACAAGGAAGAAGTGTGTTTTGTGGTTGTCATTTTATTTATAATAAAACTACATTTGTAGGAAATTAAGATAAAATATGAACAAATGCTTAGTTCTCAACACACGGGCAATCCTAAAAATATTTGACGTCTTGAGGCTGTCAGATTTTTTTTTTGGTGTGTCGCGTCTGAATGGAGTTGCCTAATGACGCAAAGCTAATCATGCAAAATTAAAATTTGGTGGAGGGGAGGAGGTTGGAGGAGGAGGCACCGAATCACATGGTGCAGGGCTGCTGATGAACACTATAATGGGTATGTCATGTGTGCTAAATAAAATCTGCCACACAGGCTTCCATAGAGACACAATGCCCATATGTCAGTCCTTTTTATACCCCCTCTTCTTTCATAAAAAGCTATGTATTCGTGTGTTTTTATCATATTTAATAAAATCTCTCAACAATTAAACCAAGCTGCAATCAAACTTTGTGATCTGTAATGCAAGACAACAATACATATAGGGTTTTGAATTCCGCATCTATTAGATATGGAAAACTCCTGAATAAGAGATATGAAATAGAAAGGAATAAAAGGAAAGAAATCTATCAGGAATATCACTAATGATTGTGCTAAAAACAGCATAAATTATGCATATTACCTCCTCTCTCTCCAGTAATAAATGTTTTATCGTTTCCCCCCTGCATTTAATGCTCTGTACCTTCACTGGGGCAGAAAGGACCAACATCAGTCCACATCCTCACAATAAATTACAATAAAAAAAGCCTCAAATGCAACCCAAGAATCATGGTCTTTATTTCGTCAATATTGTTGTGGATTTTTAAAATGAATATTCTAGACAAGGAATATTTCAAAAGATACAAAAATACTCAACTTTCTTTCAAAGTTTGCTTCAGAAGATTCCTAATCTACCAGCAGTTTGTCCATTTTCAAATACAAACAAACAAATCTTTACACCTTAGAGAAAATGTGCAAGAGCAACCCCAGATAATGTTCATCCATGCAACAAAAGACGGAGAATGATCATTATGATTGTGTGTGTGTGTGTGTTTTAAGAGCATTCGTGCCCATCCCACCTGGGTACTGTGTGTATTCTTTGGCCGGTAAATACCGTTTTAATAGAAGTGTGTTTGCGTCCTTCCCTCTGTGTGTGTGTGTGTGTGTGTGTGTGTGTGTGTGTGTGTGTGTGTGTGTGTGTGTGTGTGTGTGTGTGTGTGTGTGTGTGTGTTTGACGAGGGGCAGATACAGGACAGGCCTTAAAGGATGTCCACAGCCAGGATAAACAGGATCCAGGCGGGGAGAACAAACAGGGCTGAGCTGTTACACAGAGCAGGGCGACAGCTGCCCGGGACACGAGTAAATAAGGAAGAGGCCGGTACAAGGCGTGCTTGTGAACAAACAGGCCCCTGTTAAACACCGCTCACTACTGATGGAGAGAGACACACAGGAAAAAAAGAAGAAGAAGGTGGGGGGTGACGGAGGGAGACAGATGAAAAGAGTGAAAGAGAGAGAAAGTGAGTGGGAGGGAGAGGGGGAAGACTGGCACAATGTGACAACCAATCCGGTGATGAATCTCAGCATAAGAAACTCAAGGCTGCAGCCGAGATCAGCCGGCTAATAAGTATTCAAATTAGGCATACATTTTACATGCCCAATGTTTAAAATATTCAGAGAAAGACTGTCTGATTGCCTTTACTACAATTTTATGAACATTCTAATGGAGCCTGGATTTTTTTTCCTTTCTTTCCTGGACGAGCGATGGATATTCGGAAAACTTGAAGATATATGAGACAAGGAAATAAGGATTTTTAATAACATCTGAATGCAAACTACTCCGGAAGTCCGAGGGAAATTGCTACTTTGATATTAACCAACCTGCTTTTAATGTGCTTGGATTATAAAATATTAATATCGTAAAATAGAGAGGTACAATTAAGAAAGGAGACATCACGGTAAAAAAAAGAAAGAAGCATAACTTGGATTTAACACACAAACAATAAAAGCCCCCCACCCTCGCTTAATCTCATAATCTTATCGCCCTCCTCCGAAAATAAAAATCTGTGCAATATGTCTAACTGCAGAATAATGATAATGCAGATATATGCAAAGTATATTCGCAGAGATCAGATGGTGCTTTAACCTTAATGACAGCGGTGAGATAAATTAATTAGCCATCTAAAGGCGGCATTCAAATCTGCCAATTAGAATGTCAATTAGAAACACAGCCAGGCTGCAATGATGAGCGGGCTGCCGATCTGACTGTGGAGGGGAGGGGAAGGGGGGGGGGGGGGGGGAGAGTGGAAGTGTCACAGATAGAGACACACACACTCACACACAATACTCAGGAGAGACAGATAGTGACAATACTCAACACCTGAGGGTGCGACTGTATGCATGCGTGCTTTAAATGTGTGCCTTCCACAAGTCCAGCAGGCCCCGTACCCCCACCCTGAGGGACACCAGCCCTGACCCCAGATTGTCCTAAACCAACTGGGTCGGAAGGAGTCGCACCCCCCCCCCCCCCGAGCTAAAGTATCGACTGGGGGCGCTCGCTCTGATCTGCCGGCTTGCCCACACGTGTGTTTGACATCCCATAAATTGCCGGTGTCTTGCGTTTCAACACACCCGCTATTTGATGCTATTTCCTCAAGCCATAATCTTCCAATGAGGGAAACCGCTTATTATCGTGATCGGAAACAGAGAGGAAGGCTGTTATTGGCCTGGTAATACGCTGCTGATGCTGTAGACGTATAGCTTTAGGAAGGGAGATGAAAGTGATACTAAGTGTTTAGGTTGTCGGGTAAAGGAAAGATAGGGAAGGACGGAGATAACTCTCCAAATGTACTGTCGCCCGACATTTCTATTAAGGTGGAGGCTCGATAGAGAGGAATTCCTTTTCCTGATGAAGCAGAGATAGACACTTTATTTGCAAAAAGCTTCAGACCAACAGCAGCTTTTGTCTCGTTCCTTGTGCAACCATAGCCTTGCTTGCCATTCCTCTTCAGCTCGAGCAAATATTTACCCTCAAATCTCGCGCTACGCAAATCTGTCTCCTCCATCAGGTGCAGAATCTGAAGGAAGGGTCCTGACGACGCATTTGGCCCTCCTCTTTCTTCCCAGAAGTGACACAACAAAAGGTGTAAGGAGAATCGAGCCTTTCATTGCCCCTCTCTCTCTTGCTCCCTTTTGCGCACACACACACACCTATCATTAAAGGGGAAAGAAGCAGCCCTCCATCTTTGTTTGCGAGCTCTAAAAGCCCTTAATGTAGCCTCATTACCTGGCCTGTCTCCCGCTCTATCATGTGCGGTAAACACACACTATGACACTGGCCATCCATCTAGTGGGAATACACAGCCGTCTGCTGGGCTCCCAACACTGTCTTGGGAACACTGGGGAATTTAACACACACACACTGGAGCCACTGTAACGTTGTTAACACACACCAGGCTTGACACTCTTTCAGGGCCTATCCATTTTCAGTGTGAAGATGTTCTGCACTGTGTCTCTATCAGGAACACTGATCCATCCCCTCATTTTTTATGCATGAGTTGCAGAAAATATTTTCATTAGGATGACACAAAAGAGGGGGGGGGAAAAAGTGACCCGTAAACCTGTGATCCCACACGCCCGTTCATTAAGAGCTCACGTTTCAGGTGGCTGGCGTAAAATTATTTTGGTTTGTGAGGATCAAAAACAAAAAAAATAATAATAGAAATTACATTTCACAGTCTGCTGACTCCTCACAGCTCCCTGATCAAGTCGAGATATGGTTACCATTTAAAATAATCACAGATTCTGTGCTTGAGTGAAATTAATTCATCATTGCCATAAGTTACTATGCATACAAAATAAAGAAGTTACTGGGCAAGGGCAAGGGGCTCGCATATTTAATACTTCAGATTGCTTAATAAATCAAAATGCCACATATGTGCTGACTAAAAAATGGTGCTTAAAACATTTGAGAATGATAAATGTAATGTGGGTAATGGAGAACAAAGAAGTTTGAGATGACTTAATCAGATAAATGTCTGCAAGGCAAACCGTACATTTAAGAATCTTTGATTATGATCGTATGTTTATTTGTTCTTGGGTGTGTACTGTAATTTGATCTGGTTGTCACAGCACTTTATTACAGCCTTCAGCCTCAAGCAGGCAGTTTGGAGTCGGAGATGGAAAAAGGACCACTCCGACAAAACCCAGTCCCCCGGATTAAGGAAGGCAAGCCAGGCTGCCGTGCCTTAGAATTAAAAGCTTCCTTTTTGGCACTAAAGGGCCACCATAAAAGAGCATTAATGACTACTTCTTATAAACCTGTGTATGGTAATGGTTTCTGCTCTCAGATAGAGGAATTTCAAAAGTGTCTCACCGGTGAATGAAGATTGCTTTTGGAAAGGAAAAAAAAGGGGGCTGAAGAAATCATATTTACAAAATCAGGAGTGGGGCCAAATGAAAGGAGATGAATATGAATAATGGACTCTTGCTTTTTCGGGATTAACGTTATTCAAAGCAACAGAATCAAATGTGGTTATCTCCTGTCCAATGAGCCCTACATTGAGAAAAACCTCAGTCATATTTCAATTCTTCATTTGAGCTGACAATAAATCGTAGTTCTGTGATAGGAGACATTCAGTCGAGAGTGTTCCGAACTTAATTCTCTTCTATTTACAATAAGGAGATGAGACAGAATAAGATAA